GGTCAGACTGGCATCCGTGGTCAGGGTGCCAGCAAAGGGGACCGCATCCGGGTTGAGTGGGCGCCCCTCACAGCGCCAAATATTGACCCAGACCTCCAAGTCCAAACGGGCCTGGGGGGTGACGATCAGGCGGTCCCGCCAACTGCGCTTGGTACGCAGAACCGCATAAAGACTTTGCAAGAAGAAGTGCGCCAAGGGAAAGGCCAACTGTAAGGAAATGGTCAAACCACAGAAACGGGCCAAATCCCGGGCCACAACCCAGCGACAGGAGTGCAAAGAAGAGGCCTTGCTTGCCACCAATGCGGCCTTCTCCAGCGGGACTTCAAAGCGGCAATGGGCCGTGTCGATAATTACCCCAAAATGTTTTTTTGCGAGGAACTAGAGTCCATTACCATTTGCGCTCCTTGAATTGTATACCCAGCGAGGAGAAAACGCCTCTCACAAAACCGGACCATCGAGTCAAACGGGCAGCATCATGCATTGCCACCAAAAAATCGTCCAGATATGCCCAAACAATGGCGGGAGGTTCTTTAGTGTACACCCGAAAATAGTCAGCTATTGAGTCATCTCCTGCTAAGCACCCAAAACGGAAACGTCGCGATGCCTTGGTGCAACTGCCCGGGGACGTCAAGAAACGGCCCACTACAAGCATGAATTGTGTAAAAAAGAATGGTGCTAAGGAGAGACCAAACGGAAGAGCCCGACAAGCAAAAAACTTCATCGCCCATCCTAAACTAGAGGAAACATTCCTCCGCCTTACACACCCGCAGGTGATGATAGGCATCTTTGATGTCAAAACCGACCAATGAGTCATTCCGGTTGAGTAAGTGACCGAAGTCGCGCAGTTTCTTGTAGCGAAGGCCCACCTTGCGCAGGTGACGGTTGACCCGTCGCAAGTCCACGCATAGTCGGTACTTCATAACTCCATCCTCCTGCCCTTTCTCCACCAGGAAAGCACGGGCGATGCGCGACGTCGGGCCCGGATCCACTTTGACGATCACCCCCGAAGAGAAGTACTCCGCGCGAAGGGAAGTTCAGGCTGCCCGTTCCTCCAGAGAGCAAAGCGGGTAGGAGCCCTTGTCGAAGGGAGCCGGGGGTCCACGCGGTCCCCAAAGAAGGGGAGTCCCGGAATGGATCCATTGAAGGACGCGCGATGGAGCGTTGATCCGTCGCCAGGCTGCAAGGCATCCCCGAACCCAGTTGTATGGGAAGCTTTTCATGGGGGCGTCTTGGTGGAGGCGGCCGGTGCTCGAGGTCCCTTGTGGGACTTGGGGCCTGACGGGTGGGTCGAAGCGGACGGGGAGGAGGGGGCAGGCTTCTTGGCGGCCGCGGTCTTGGTCGCATGCTTCAGCTCCTGAGTGAACAGCTCCTTGCGCATGCGCTCGATGGTCCCGTCGACGCGCGCCGTTCCAAAACGTAGACCCCGGCCGGCGAGGCGAATCTCCGCCTAGATGGCGTGCCACGAGCCCTCCAAGCCAGAGCCCTTGTGCTTGGCATGGACGCGCTGCAAGGAGAGTTGATCGTGGAGGGCTTCGGTGACCTCCACGTACGAGTACAGGTAGGGAGGAGAAACTCCCGCATGGAGGTTGGGAGATCGGGATGGGCAGCCACCTCCACGAAGGCTGCAATCATGTTGAACAACCAGGATACTGGTAGCGCCCAGCCCGCGTACTCCTGGAAGTACCCAGAGTTGGCGCCCAGAGCGGTGGCAACCGCACTCCCCTCGGCGGTGTCACGGACATCAAACCAGTACGATAGCTGCTCAATGAAAAGAATCCATCAGTCATGGGTGCAGGCACCAGGCATCGTGCACACCACATCGGTGTGCGACTTCAGACCACATCGGCAAGGGAGGTATCGTATATATCTTATACAATATATCTATACGGCAAGGGCCCTAATAGTAAACAGGAACGAGCTCCCGCCGGTCGGGCTACTGGGTTGTTGACGGACTGGGGGAGGAGAGCCGGGTCGGGCAACCAGCAGGCTTTGATAGCGGAGGTCGGAATACGGTTGTTGAACCGGCGAGCTTGTTCCCGGCACCACTGCTCCGCAGGGGGCGGGTTCGTAGGCAAGAACTTGGCAAAGAGCCGGAGGTCGTGACCCACTCTGTGGGTCCGGGTTGTGCCAAAGGTTTGGCGTGAAGCGAAACAAGATAAGGTGGGGACCGAGGGGTGAGCCTAAGTAGCCTCCCCGCTCGCGCCCGCCAACGCCCGCCACTCCCAAGGGCGCCAAAAACCACTGGCCCTCCTTGAACGCGATGGCCCAGCCACTGACCCAAGGTACAGGGGGACAGAAACCCCAAGGGGCCGCCAAAACCATTGTACTTTAGGCAGCGCTGGCCCAAGTGGGCCAGCGCGCCCGCCCCTCGTCGCCCTGGGCGGAAACCCCTTAACAAGACAGTTAATCCCATGACTATGCCAAATAGCATCACTGCAACACTACAATGTTCTGCACGAATAGCACCGGTGCTATTTTGGGGTGCTATTCGGTCCCGAGCGGTGCTATTTGGGGCCAAAATAGCGCCGCTCAGCGCCAAATAGCTCTGGGGGTGCTATTGCTCCCCAACCGTTAATGACGAGTTTTTGACGTGCGGTGCTATTCGGATAGCCGAATAGCTCTGCCGGGACAATAACACCCACCGATAAAGATGCTCTTAGGACTGGGGACTTGTCAGGGCGGTTGGGCTGATGGCCTTGGCGGGAAACCTGGATACCGATGGCGCCCCAATACATAACCGCAATGTTGCGGACTACCACCATACCCAGACGTCAGGGCTCCATGCTGTTGGCGGCAGCGTGGCTAGTTCCATATGCCGTGTTGCCATGAAAAGACAAACAGTTGTGTGCCAAAAAATCACACAACACCACCACTGCAATCGCATATAAGAGACCCCTACAGGACTGCTGGCAGGTCGATGCGTTGGCAACTATGGAAAAGTGCAGTCCCCAAATTAAGCTTGTCGTTTGTGCCATAAAATTTGATCGCATTTTATGTCTTTACTTGTAAAAATAGTATTAGCGTTTGAACACGTAGGAAGGCGCAAAAGTGCGTGAATGCAACATGAATACAGCCCCATGTACGTAAAGACAATACATACATACAGTACATTCGGAGTCAGGGGAGTGGCAGCTTGACGCACTGGAGTGGACAGAAAACGAACCTTTTTTTGACGACGTCTTTGCCTTTTTCGAGGGCGAGGTGGGAGCCATGTTCCATATGCTCGAGGGGGCGGAGGACTGATCATTGTACGCAACTTTATTCATCCAAACAGGTATCCATAAAAACATAAATGCAACTGCCCAAATAGCTCCTGTGCAATTTACGCTTTCACTGGTAAAACCGTAAACATAAACATTCACAACAAGCCTGTCCCACTTCACCAAGGCCCCTGCATTGTCTCTGGCCAGGAATAGGTGGAGCTCTGTGCAAGCATAATTTTATGCTCGAACGCGAGAGAAAAGGACCAACCTACAGCGACATCGCCGGTGATGGCGACGCGACCCTCGGCCACATCGCCGAAAGGGATTGGGTTGAAGGCTGGGCGTCCGCAACGTCGCCGGGATTGTCGCAAGGGGGGATGGGGGGGGCGCCAGGGCCGTCAACGGCATCGGCAGGGCTCTCAGTTTTCCCACTGACGCCACGGGCAATGGGGTGGCGACGTTCCCCCCCAACCCCAACCCCCCCAAGCGATGGGAAATTCTGGCGATGTCCTGCAAGGTTGAGACTCTAGAAGGAAGCGAAATGATTGAGATTATTTTGCCAAAGACTGCCGCGGCTCAAGCAATGCCAGATTCTCTTCAGATCCGCCATCCGGCCACCCCGTTTACACCGTCAACGTGTTTCCACGCCAGTCTCCCACATCACTACGTGGGAGAGGCAGGACAGGGAGTCCCGTTCACACAGCTGCGAGTACAGCCGCGGCCTCGCGCTTAAGCTCACAATCGTTATGGACATGTAATCCGCAGCAACTTGGAAATCTTGATCTTGACGATGCCAGGTGCTGTTCAGAAAGTGCCCTGTGCTCATGAAGGGGTGTTGGTACCTGCCAATATTTCCCTTTTGAATTTGGGGGCTATGTCAAGTTATTGGGTGAGGCATTTTGACGCTGGGGCCGTAAAGACTAGTCTCATGCGGGGTGCAGCACGAAGAAGTGTCCCTTGCGTGAATTCGTTGTGGCGAGATCCCTCCTGAATTCGGGATGGACTTCCAGCGACATTGACAGCCCTTGCTGCAACGAGTTTGTTGTGCACCGTCTGTCTGCGTTGCTGCAATGCCCATGCACCTACACCTTTCAAGTCACAATGTCTGTCATGTTAAAGAGCTTGGCGATTGATAGGGTGTTATCATTCATGACCCGTTAGCTTCAATGGCATAAGGGGCGAAAATGCCGACGCATCAATTCTGGCTTGATGCAACATTCAAGAACGCCGCTCTGCACACGCGAGCTCAGAATACCAGTACTGATGGAAGGGCCCATCAATGTTGCATCAACGACTAGCAAATTTCCGGATGAACTATAGCATTACAATCTCGGTTCACTTGCAGGTCCACTTGCAACCAGTTCGCTTACAGGCGGCGAATCGCCGATTTCCCATCAGTCACAACCTTGAAAAATCAAATAACGCAGCCCCGAAATTGCAGTCCGAACACCATTCCGCAGCAACATAGCAGTCAGCCATACATGAAATATTTATACTTATAAAATCCACACCAGATCCGCCCGCCTGCCTTCCAGCCGGATTTTCCGGCTCAGGCGCGAGACGCAGGCGATGAGGTCGCCGACTCCCCATCACCCATGAAACCAAAACATCGACTACCGCAGCCTGGAAATTACAGTCCCACCGCCCTTCCGCAGCAACACGGCAGTCAGCCGTATATGCAGTATTCCTACCTAGAAAATCCACACACCACCCGCCCAGCAGCCGCCCCGATGCCTTTCAGCCGGATTTTCCGGCTCAGGCGCGAGACGCACGCAGGCGCTGCTGGGGAGAACCCACCTCCATTCCACCAGTGGCGGCGCCGTAACTGCGCACCCTCCGGTGGCCGGCCAAGGCAACGTACCGCCTCTCGAGGCTGCCGTGCAAGGCACCCGCGGCGCCCCCCGGGGGGCCACATTCCGCGCCGCCCCCCGGGGGGCCACATTCCGCGCCGCCGCGGCCCCGGGCCTTCTCCTCACGGCCGCCGGCCGCCCTTCCCTCACCCCTGCCCCTCTCGCAGCCCTTATCATCAAGGGGGACATGATCGTGGCCAGCCACCACAATCCCTTCCCCTCTTCCCTTCCTGTCGCCATGTCGCCCATTTTCTCCGCCACGCGATCCGGAAGCGCGCCGTGGAGTCGGCGAGCCGGTCGACGCCCGCCTCTGGCGAGGGGCGGATGTACCCACAAGGCGCACGACGACCATTTGGTCCGCTGTCGTTCGCAATCTGCCATCTCTAGATTCACGGCAAGCTGCTCCCCTGGACGTGGACCAGGACGTCTTCATCTCGCTGCAGGCCACTGTCCCGCTTCCGTGGCACTCGACGACCCCTTCCCCCGCCGGAGCCCTCCCCGCGGAGATCCTCCAGTCGAAACGGTAATTGTTATCACCCCCGCCCTCTTCACAGATCCTGCAGATCACATGGCAGGGGAAGCGCGCCCCGGCCCCAACCTTCTCCTCGTAGTTCCCCTCGACGTTCAGCACCACCGGACGCTTAAATCCCTCCCGCTCTCGCCTCGCCAGGGGTCTGGCGGGGTCCACGGGCGCCAGTTCATCCGTCGCTGCGCCACCCGCCCACGCCCCTCTCAAGACCCCGTCCGCATGCAGCCTGTACGCCACCGACAGCCCCCCGCGCCACAGCACGATTATCCGATCGCCGATCAGCGCGCCGGCCCCGCTGGATCCGAAGCACCGTGCTGGCCCGTCCGCGCTCTCGTCCCTCTCGAATCGGTACCGGTTCCCGATCCCTCGGCCTATGGTGCACTGGCCCTCGTATCGGGAGCCGTCGGCGCAGACTCCCGACACGGCGTAGGTCACGGAAGTGTCGATGGGAGCAGGCGGGGAGGGATGGCGGGGCTGCCCCCTCAGGCGCCTCAGCGCGGAGTTGCCCATCCCTGCGCCGCCGCGGGGGCCAAGCAGCCCCGAGCTTCCCGCCGTACGGAGCCCCAGTGCGCCGTGGGGCGATACATGAGGGCAGCAACAGGGACGCGGTGTCAGAGAAGAGTGAGGCGTGCGTCAGAGATGCGTGTTAGGGAGGCGCGGATGGCATTATCCACGTTTGCGGGCGGGGCGACGCTGTGCTGGCCTGGGTGGCCCCTCAGGTTCAGCGGCGTCCAATGAGTGCGTAGTAGTTTTTGCCGGAGGTCACAACAGAGTGTGGGCCTGGTATGCCATGCCGCCGTGGAACTGTGACGTCACGGTGCAGTATGCTGCGGCCGAAGGCAGCCTCCTGTCAGAGGACGCTGCGTGGCGCACGACTCGTGGGCCGGGAGATAACCTTAGCTTCCCCTCGAGGCGCACTAAATCTCTTCCCATATCCACCATCCCTGGTCCTTAGGACTGGGGACCGCACGACTCGTGGGCCGGGAGATAACCTTAGCTTCTCCTCGAGGCGCACTAAATCTCTTCCCATATCCACCATCCCTGGTCCTTAGGACTGGGGACTCGTTAGGGCGGTTGGGCTGGCGGCCTTCGCGGGAAACCTGGATGCCGATGGCGCCCCAGCACATAACCGCACTGCTGCGGACTGCCACCAGACCCAGACGTCAGGGCTCCATGCTGTTGGCGGCAGCGTGGTCAATTCCAACGTTGATGCAGTATTGCCGTTAAAGGGCAGAAAGTCTGCGCCAAACAATCAGACTGCCCCACCACCACAATCACACAGAGGAGTTAATTGTGGCGATTGCTGTGTGGAGCTGCACAGCGGCACCCACGGAATTGCTGGCGGATCGATGCATTGACAACTATGGAAAATTGCAGTCCCCAAGTTAAAAAGCCCCTTGCATTGTATCCTAGCCTGAAATTTTTACAGCTATGCGAGAGCATAATTTACGCTGGGATGCGAAAATGATTGTAGTCACTTTACAAAGACTCCCGCGGCTCAAACAACGCCAGATTCTCTTCCGCCCCTCAGATCCACCATCCGGTCACCCCGTTTCCGCTGTCAATGAGTTTGCTCTCCAGTGTCTTGTAGCACGATGTGGGGGAGGCTGGACAGGGAGTCCCGCTCACACAGCTGCGAGTACAGCTGCAGCCTCACGCTCAAGCTCACAATCGTTATGGACACGTAGTCTGCGGCAACGTGGCAATTTTGATCCTGACGATGTCAAGCGCTGTTCAGGAAGTGCCCTGTGCCCATGAAGAGATGTCGGTGCCTGCTAATATTCCCCTTTGCATTTGGGGGCTAGGTTAGGTTACTGGTGAGGGGTTGCCACGCTGGGGTCCCAAAGACTAGCCAGCATGAAGAATTGTCCCTTGCGTGATTTCGTTGTGGCGAGATGGGCTGAATGCCGCTGGCTCACGTACGGGCATCTTTTAAATTTATTAATGTGGACGTCACTGGGGCAGCAGCATTGGCTGTGTAATACAAGGGACAGGAAACGCGTTTGTTTGGCAAGGTCATGTGAATATAGAGTGACCGACATTGCCATTTGAGAATCCTTATCCCCGCTTCCTACACTAGGAAAAAAGGGCCAAATAACACTTCTGCGAACACACATAAAACACATTTCATCAAAGTTCTGCACGCTAAGAACACAAAAATAACACAAGCCCGTAAACTTTGTACACGTCTGAACA